AGTGGGCAATTTGGCTGTTGATGCTGCAAAACCATTTCAGAAAGGCTGTATTGCCATTCCAATAATGATATAGATTATTCATTGACTACTGTGTTAAATTGTTTTAAGAGAATCTGTAAAGCAGACCCTACCTACTATGCCATTTTTGAAAAATCTATACACATAACTTACAAAGACAGTTTTAAATGTTTTTCTGCATTATGATTGTTTTTAATTTTGGATTGGGTAGTATGGTTGGAAAAAAGAAGTTAAGGTAGTTGTCTTGCTGCTGAGTTTGCAAAGGAGACATAGTTGAATATGGCACAAGGTAGGGGTGGAAGTGTAGAGTGCAGTAAGAGCCATCCCTAGTGACTTGTTTGGCTGTGCAGCCGTATTTCTTAGGGAAAAAAAAAAGTACACATGCACACACACACAATCACACACCCGGGCAGCTTTATTAGACACATTGGACTTAAATACAGAACATTAATGTTCTGGATCATTATTCCACAGTTCTTTGTTTTATTTACTTGTTTTAAAATGTAATTTTGGGGAGGATCTGTAGGACTAAAAAAATATAGCTTTGTCTTAGTCAGTGAAAGGATGACATAGATGGAGTATCATAGATGAAGTAAATGATCATTGAAATTGGTCATTTCTTTCCAGAAGATAAGTAATCAGAAGGATTTTACAAACATGTAGGCTCAAAGATGAGTTTTCAGATTTTTAAAAATAATTAGGTAAGTGTCTGATTTCAAGATATAATATCTTTGCATTGAATTGTACTTTAGCAAGGCCTATATCTATGTAAACAAGCCCCTATATTATTTTACCTGTAGTCTTACCTGTTTTACAAAAATTACATTTATGACTATACATGTTTTGCTTTCTTTGGTTACCCATAGCATCTATGTCAATTGTTTTCCTTTGTATGAGTATATATATATATATATATGTATATATATATATATACACATATATATATATATACATATATATATATATGTATATATATATTTTTTTTTTTCCCCTCCAAAATATGGTACTGCTGAGTCTGTGGGAACCAAGGATAATTTATGAAATATGGAATTTAGTAAGGCTGTAGGAAATCTGGGGACCAGAGTTAAGGATTCTGTTCAGATTTTTTTTTTCCCCTCCAAAATATGGTACTGCTGAGTCTGTGGGAACCAAGGATAATTTATGAAATATGGAATTTAGTAAGGCTGTAGGAAATCTGGGGACCAGAGTTAAGGATTCTGTTCAGTGAAGTACTGTTGGTGAACTAATCTGTGGATTAGAAGATGTTGAGCATCATTGGCCACCATCCACTAAATACTAATCATACTTCCCAGTCCTTGTGGTCACAGTGCTGCCTTGTGGCCCCCTTTACCCCCTCTCTTACTTTCTGGGACATAGGGTACCACCTCCTTTTTTGAGAACCACTGGGAAATAGCATTAGGGAATATGTTAATTAAAAGTAAGTTTGGGCCAGAGATTTAGCTCAATGGTTCCGTTGCCTGCCTTGAAAGCTCAAGGAAAGAAAGTTTGTTTACATGTAAACTTGAAGGACAAAAACAAATAATGGATTAAATCAGATAGTTTATTTCCCCTTTCCATAGATAAGTCTGGAGATAGGCAGGCTAGGGTTGGTGTAGTGGCTTTATGATCATCATCATCAGCAGCAGCAGCATCATCATCATCATCATCATCATCGTGTTTTTGTGTTCTCTCACCATTCCCCTATTCAAGGGTGTGAAGAGTGTCTGGAGCTCTAGTTGTTACTGATATTCCAGGCAACATGGAGGAGGATGAGGTAGCGAGTGAAAAAGGACTTTCTTTTTACCTGTGTCTGTTCCTTTTAAGTACTGCTTTCATATTTGGCACTCCTATCTGCAAGAACAGTTCATAGCTTGGCCCGACATAAGGAAACCAAACAAAACAAAAAACAAAAAATTATAGACTGAGTAGTTTAAACAATGGAAATTTATTTCCCACAGTTGTAGAGTCTGGGAATTCCAAGATCAAGGTGCTGGCAAGGTAGGTTTCATTGTGAACCATTTTACCTTGGCTTGCAGTTGGCTAGTGTCTTACTTGATGCTTATATGACTACTTCTTTTGGAATGTAAGAAGAAAATGATCTCTTTGATGTCTCTTAATAAGGACATTAATCCTATTGGATCAGGGGCCTACTTTTATTAACCTTTATTTAAGCTTAATTCTTTATAAGCCTTACCTTCAGTATAGTGATATTAATGGTTAATGCTTCTACATATGAATTTTGGGCGGAACACCATTTAGTCCCTAGCAGTTGGGAAGTACTGCACCATAAAGCCTTTCAGTTGGGTGCATTGCTGCCCTGAATAAGAGAGGATCCATTAGGAAGGTTAAAGGCGAACATGGATATTGGGTGAAACTGGTGATTACTGTCACAGGTACTCTTGCGTAAATTTCCCAGGTTGATAATGTGAGCTTGGAGTCAGAATCCTATAGAGTATTCACTGTAGACAGCTAAGGGTGATCTGTGTAAAAGTATGCACAGAAAATTGCAGGGGGGAGAGAGAAGTATTTAGGACTTAACTTTTTGATAATATATAATCTCTTTATCAAGAGAAGTGCTACCCCTGAGAGAAGTCAGATAACTTTTTCTTTCTTTTAGAATAAAACTAGGAAGGTAAGAATATTAGGAATCATGTAGAACAATGATAGTGAATATTTTAGAGAGTGAGTGCCCAATTGCAATCCCATACCCACTGATTTATCACAAAGTGCCAACACTGCATTTAAACCCGAATAATGAGGCTTTAGTTTAGAGAAAACAGCTCATAACATTAACATCTTTTGTCTTAAAAGAAAAACACAGTAACACACTTGCCATAAGTTCACCACCTGATTGACCTGCCTACTATAGCCCTTACATTAATGAAAACATAAAATATTGCTTCTAATTTACATGTAATTTTTCTTTGTTTTGGTGATGGGGATTGAACCCAGGGGCACTCTGCCACTGAGCTATTTCCTCATTCTTTTTTATTTTTATTTTGAGACAGGTCTTGCCAGATTACACAGAAGGCCTCAAATTTGTGATCCTATTGGCTCAGCCTCCCCAGTTGCTGATATTACAAGCATGGACCACTGCCCTTAACACTTAGAAGTAGTTTTGATTAACTCTTGAACTACCCACAGCTATAGGCCAGGCTGTAAGGTGATTAAATTTAGCCATGGAGATGGTATTTACTTGCCAATGATGGTGGAACAATAGTGATTTTACATGAAAGTTTTTTAATGTTAGAATATCCTCTGGCTTAATCTGTCTACTTAATGAAAAAGGTTACTGAGATGATTTCTGTTTTAGCCTAGATCTGATTTTCATCTTAAGAGGTTAGTTCTAGCTTCACCTCTATCTACATGGTCATTTTTTCCACTGATTGCTGGGCTTCTTAGGATTCTGGATGCTAGAGCATCAGATATTGTGGATGGAAGTTTTTTTTTTTAACTGAAATGAAAAGCATTTGTATGGAAAGAGGCTTTTCATAAATTATTAGTACTATGGGGATTTTGGGTCACTGGTTCACTAAGATGTTACTCATACATAGTGTACTAATCTTTTGACTATAACCTTCCATCCTGTTTATTATGAATATTACTATATATGACTATTGTGGTGAGAGATTTTAACATTCTAAAAATTTTGAGAACTTTAGAAGTAGCTACAGAAAACAATTATACTAATTAGAAAAAACTTCCATAATTTTGGAAAGAAGAAAATAAATAACTAAATACATAGACTTTCCTTGTTTGTATCACAAGATCAGAGTTTAAAAGGATTGGTGATGCATGCCTGTAATCCCAGCACTTGGGGAAGTTGAGGCAGGAGGATTCCAAGTTTAAGGCAAGCTTGGAACACAGTGAGATCCTGTCTCACAATGTATTACATACATGTACCAATCTCCTACAGTGAATTATTATTATGTACTGCAAACATGTACTAATAAAAGTCAAACAAAACAAAACGAAGATAAAAAGAAATTCTGATCATTTAATATATTCAATAGACTTTTAAAAAATATGTTTTACTGTCTAGGTTGCTAGGTTGTTATAGATTTTTCCTACACATTGGAGTGGGGGGTGTGTTATGTGTTTGTGGGAGAAGCAGATTGATTTTACATTTTTCATTTTTTTTTTTACAAATATGGTTAGAAGTTGATACTTTGATCTTCAGATTGGGATTTTGGAAGTGATATTTTACTTAATGCAAATCTGTAATAAAATGGGCTCTTTTTTTTACAAGTAGCTCACTTTTTGTTCTTTCCTCTACCTATATAGAAAGGCAGAAAGGTTAAATTTTGAATAGCACGTGACACATTTCCTTGCAGAGCTAGCTGGATATTCACTTAGCTTGGTATTAGCCAAAACAGAACAGTGTATTAAGGGTAAGGGATAGTTCTCAAATATTGGTGGAATCACCTGGGGATTTTTAAGAATATTACTACCTCTGATTCCTGTCCCCAAATACTCTGATCAAATTTAATTGCTATGGGATGATACCTAGACTTTAAAATTTTCACAATCTCCCTAGCTGCAGCAAATTTTGGGAACAGCTTTACTAGCTAAAGATTAAGGTGCTGGAATGATTAATGTGGGGTAAAATAGGGGAAGCCTTTTTTTTGGAAGTGAAATTTGCAGCTCCTGGGATTCTCATTCAATAACACATTTTTGCAAAGTTGGGAAGATCTCATATTTGGAAATGAAAACTGACCAACAGCATTTGGTTCATCAATAAAAGGAAATTTGAGTTTATGAATGTCATTGCAATTGTATCTACTGGCTACTTAAATTTAGCTTTTTAAAATTCATTATGTAAAAATATGATGACACAAAAACCACTTTAAAAACCTGGAGGTCAGACTATTTAAGTAACTTATGAGGAAACAAATTTTCCCCACATTGATCAGTGTTAGCTAAAAGAAAAAAGTTAAAACTTATTTAAAATGTGGAAAAATTGCTTCCCAATATTTTAACAGAGAAAGACTGAGAACACACAGCATTGAGTCATCAGGAAAACTGAAGATCTCCCCTGAACAACACTGGGATTTCACTGCAGAGGACTTGAAAGACCTTGGAGAAATTGGACGAGGAGCTTATGGTTCTGTCAACAAAATGGTCCACAAACCAAGTGGGCAAATAATGGCAGTTAAAGTAGGTGATGCCATGATTATTTTTGGTACTTTAATCCATTAGGTGATTTTTTTGTTTTGTTTTTTGTGGTGCATCAATACCACTGTTTCTTTCTTTTCTCACATTTCTGATAAAGATGGGTGTTTTAGAAATTGCTTCTCTGACTTCCTTGAGGATGTTTGTGCAGAGGTTGTCTTATTGGTGGTACATTTTCTCTCTCTGGAATCTTGAGTGTATGAAGCGTGCATGTTCATTGCACTTTTGGCATGATGCATTAACAGGTTTTAAACTTCCGGCCCTTCCACTGCCAAGGTGAGTTCAGTCTGGGCGGCTGCACCCCTGGGAGCAGGGCAGTGCTGCTCTAAGCCAGGCGGGAGCTGGAGGAAGAGGCAGCACACTGGGCTGGGCAAGGTGCGGGGCTAGGGCTAACAGCAGTCTTACTGAAGGTTTCCTGGAAACCACACACATGCTGTTGCCACTAACCTCAACCTTACTCGGTCCTGACCGGCTCGGCTTCTGTTTGTTTATTTCATCTCTACTCAGTACTGCCCTGTTCCCTGGCTTTAAAGTTGTATTAAAATGCATACCTTGTGATAATGCTGTCACATTCTGTGCTATTGTAAGTGTCATGCCACTTAATGTATTTATTTAATTTAAAAAGAAGAAAGGTCAAAAATAGAGATTGGGCCTTTGAACCCAGCAGACTTATGTTAACATCTATAATGAACTGGTGGGTTCATCTGACTCCTGTTGGGTTTTTGTAAATAGTCCTTTATATATTTGTATAGATGTTTAAAAAATATTTGGTCTGTGTAAGATATGTCAGGAAATTCAGCAATGTGGGGGCATTTTATAAAGAAAAAGGGGAAAAAATTGTGGCCATACCCTCGCTGAACTTAAAACTCCTGTGTGAAACAGTAACACCTCAGCTTTTAGCAATTGAGAATGGTTTTGCAGCCTCAGCTGATCAAGTTTCTGTTAATCTTCTATTTTGAGTGTTTGTCTTAGTGGCTTGAATGAGAGAAGGGGCTCCAATTTTTTACTTGACATTTGGGAATGGGTTTCTATTGTAGTATTTTAAAATATTTTCTGTGTAGTGGTTTGTTGTGAACAAAATTTTATTGTAACTATTTAATCTTCATAGTTTAGCATTTTTTTCTTTTTTGCTAGGTCATATAAAATAATGTTAAATTAGTGATGGAAAATTTTATGATTCTCTGTATAGGTTCTTTTACTTTATATTTGCAGTATGGTGAGAACTGTAGACTTTTCTTAGATGAGGATATATATGTACATAAAATTGCATGCAACCTGTGTGTGGACCTCTAAAGATGTACCTCTGCTCTGGATTATCTATTGAGAACAAACTTTGTTTTTCATGGAATGTGAAATGATTTCTGTGTTACTTTGTGTTACTGCAGTGTAAGAGGGAAGTGTCATTTTATTTAGACTCTTCTGTGTGAGTGTTGCATTGTCCTTTTGTACTGTCTGTAAGGCATCCAGTTTCAGTTGACCATGTCTTAAGGGGAAAACTTTCTTATGTAGATAAAGCTCTGAACTTTTCTCTCAGGTACAAGGGATAAAACTTTAAAAAAATTATTTCCTACATTTTTCAGTTTGTGTTTGTAGCCACCATAAATCGTTTTAGTAATATGGGTAGACTTTGACTATAGTTAAAAGGTTTTAAACGTAAAGATGCTTCATTTTGACATTCCATGCAGTTTTTCTCAATGATTAATTTGATTGTATTTGGAGTTTTGTAGTGCTTACTCAAATTTTGAAGGAATTTAAGAGTGAAAATAGTGAAATATGATCCAGGATTTAAAATCTGAACCATGAGAGCCCCTGTTGGAATGCTAATATATACTTCTAGTATATATTAGCTATTATGAGTGCTACAAAAGGCAGTTATTGGATATGTAGACTGGTCACTATCAATCTATACCCTGTAGTGCTACTATCTTTGTTCATTGCCTTAAATACTTGAGCCAGCATAGCAGTTTGGGATGGGGGAGGGTTGCAGTATGATATGTCAAACAACATATAGGTAAATTATATCATTGGATTCCATGATTTCATTAATGTAGAAGAATACATCTTTTTACATTGATAGATGTTAAAGTTTAATACCAGTTGATGACTAATATATGTCTTTTACTATGAATTAAAAATGTGTATATTATTGATTTCAAGCATAGTATTTCACCACACCTGAGAGCATATATTTCCTCATCACATAGGCATATAGACCAGCTTGACAAGTATAATTACACAGAAGCAATGTATAATTAAGGAGAATTTAAGATATGACAGGTTACATTTAGAGGAACTGTGAGACAGTGGTTCATACAGCTGAGATCTTTTCATTACTATTGGTGAAATGAGAAAACACTTAAAATAGACCTATGCTAGCATTTTAATATACTTTTTTGGTAATATAGGAAGATTATTAGATGTTAAGCCTATTTTAGAAATTATTCTTAAGATTTACTTTCAGTAGCTATGCAAAAATGAAATATAGAATTAGTCTGTTTTTTTATAATCCCTTGTTTTTTAGTTTTGCAGAAGCCCTTTCCCAAATTTATTTTTCTACATATGAGATGCTTGAAAATACGATTTTCTTATTTACCAGAAAAATTGTCTCAAAGACTTAAACACTTAAGATATAATAAATCAGATTCAGCAAGATAGCATAGCACTGTATATGCGAAACATTCAAAATAATTCCTTCATGTGTGGCCTGAGGAAAGTCTTCCAGGCTGCCAAGAAGATTGTGTTAGGATCTGAGATATACACTTTTATCCTCACGGTTTTAATTGCACATACCTAAGAAAAAAGATCTTGTTGTCTGGTAGAATACTAGTAGTTTGTCTTTGTGGGACTGAATGACTGAGCCTTGGGGCTGCCTGGCACAAAGCCATTGTCACCACTGCGTCTTCTCAAGGTTGGGGTGGACTTTTAACTCTGTCTATAGTTTCATGGCTTTGATTATCATCCTCTACAAATAACACTTAATGCTCCATTTCAAAATTTAAATTAGTTTTTAAAAACACATAAAACATTAAAATTGTTTGCATTAATAGAGGCAATGTTTTGATAAATGTAGACATTATATAATATTTAAATCAGGTTAAACATTTACTCAAACATTTATCATATCTTAATGGTGAAAACATTCAAAGTCTTTTGGTGTAAAGTACATTGTCATTATTTATAATTAACCTGTTTTACAGTAACACAACAGAACCTCTTTCAACTTAGTACCCACTGATCAGCCTTCCCCCATCTGTCCCTTTCCCCCTTTCTTCCCATTCTTTGTTACAATCAACTAAGTTCTGTGAGATCAGTTTTTTTTGTATTCTACATATGAGTGAGATCGTGTGGTACTAATCATTCTGTGCCTGACTTATTTTACTTAACACAGTGATCTCCATTTCCATCCATGTTTTTAATGACTCATGGGATTTCATTCTTTTTATAGCTGAATAGTATTCCATGGTGTATATGTACTACATTTTGTTTATCCATTGATGTATACTTAGGCTGTGCCCATTTCATAGCTTTTGTAAATAGTTCTGCAGTGAACGTGAGGGTTAATGCCCCATTTTACATGATTGTGGGGTAATCACTGAATGAAAAAATGAGTCATGAATAATCACTGTCCTCTAAAAGTTAAGTTTAGAAAGGTTGATTGTTCTGTGTAAAGCTCAGGATTCAGACCAGTGTTTGAAGAAGCAATTGGGATTAGGTTTCTGAGAGCTAGGGTTAAAGAAATTCAGGTCTGAGAGAAATGCCCAGCAGCTTTAGGGTACAGGTGATCAGAATTAAGATGTCAAAATCCTGGGACATTGTTGAAATGAGATAGAATAGATGAAGTGTCACAGTTCAGACCTATAGGTTGAAATTGCCCGGAATTAAAAGCTCACATTGCTGACAGAAAGAATGTATGACTGTGTGCCCTCTACCTTGTCACCTGGCTGGGTCTGAAAGGTTCCCAAAGTTGAAGTAAGGAACTAAACTCCCCTTCCCTTTGTGGAATATGTTTGCAGGTTCGCTGAAGTTCATTGCAGAAAAGAATTTTCAGGATGTACCAGTAAGAAGCACAGGAGGAGTTTATCAGGCGAGATTTAGGACGCACTCAAGAGTGAAGTGGGGAGCACTCAAGAGTGAAATGGGGAGCACTCAGTGAAAATGAGAAACATTACAGTTTGGAACTGGGAATATTTATGTGTTTTTGGCAGTGGTAATATGTGGAATTTGATAATCTGTAGTTTTGGTCTGGTGTAGGGGGTAGGGATGGCCCACTCACAGTGAGATCATCTTTATGTTTTGAGTGGTGGCCTAATTTACAGGTGGAAAAGTCATCTATTCACAGGTGAAAGACAATGATTTGTAAGAAAAAAAGAGGAATTTCTGAACCCTTTGTGGTGAAATGGAATTGCTCAAGTTTATTATGTTCTAAGCGAAGAGAAAAAGGAAACTGGGCTTGTGTCCTGAAGCTGTGGTTTTCATTTCTGAAGTTATTTTCCTTGTCTCCTTTCTGCCCAATTTTTAATTGTATCCTACTTCAACCTGAAAGGTCCAGCTTCCTTGTTTTTTTAACAGTCATGTTGTCATTGAGTAGCCTGTTTCTAAAAGTGGCTCACCAACCTAATGTCACCAACTAAAGTTTCTGGGTTGCTCACTTCTCCTTCTGGAGTTAGATTCCAGGTTCTTCTCATCACAAAGAATTGGATGAAATGAACAAAAAACAGTGAAAAAGTTTGAGAAAGTAAAAGTGAAGAAATGAGGGAGAAACTGGCTCTGTAGAGTGAGCTTGGCCCAAGAAAAAGGAGAAAAAGCAATAAAAGAACACCCTGGAGATAGCAGGACAGGCTACCATGAAGGAAGTCATGATAGCAACCTCTTCTTGGTGTCTGTGTCCTTACAGTCCACATCTTAAGGAAACCAGTGAAAACTACATATGGTTCCTGAGAGGCGGTACTAGGATCACTTCTCAGGCTGATGTCAGGTCTAGGCCA